CTTGTTACTAATCGTTGATCGGCCAGTTGCTGTACAGTTGTAAACTGCTGTACCCTGGAAAGTGAAGGCGGCGGCGTCAAGATTGTCCGGTTTCGACTCAGCCGCCCAGCTACCACGTTTTGCGGCTGGCCTTTGCCACTCCCTGCGCCCCAAATCCCGGGCGTATCGGGTTCCCGATGTAAGACTGCGTGCTGGTTCATGTTTGCTGTGGTCACCCCCCTCCCCCTCCCTGGCGCGTGCGCGTGCCCCCTCTCTCGCCGCCGCGACCGCGCGCTCAACAACAGGCCAACTACAGCGCGCTGCACAGCGCTCCCTTGTACGTGAACCAGATTAACACGGCTCTCCTTCGCCTGGTTACGGGGAACGACGACTTGAGCATCGCTGTCACGATGCACCCGCTCCCACGTGAGGAGGAGGCGGAGGCGGAGTTTTTGCCCTCGTTGTAATGTACCTCTTTCTGTCGATCGTCGATTTTTTGAGCTCCGCTCTTGTCGCTAGTCGTGCGCGCGTGGATACTGTCGTGGGCCTTGCTCTGGTACCTTTCGACCCCATGTAGCAAGCGGGGCTTCGTGGAGAGCCAGGGTACTTTAGTACTTGGGGTTAGGAACCCCCACCCCCGTCATCCTCATTCACCCTCTTGTTGGCTCGAACGAGTAGAAAGTGGCGACGCGTTTGAGAGATGCCACGGTACTGTTCGTGGACAGATGGTTTTTGGCGGTCCAGTCCAGTTTAGGTGATGAAATCCACGCTCGATAAATACCTGTCACGGTTATTCTTGGACCCGTTGAAGCGAAGTTTCCGCCGCCACCACATCGAAAGAGTAGCAGGACTGTGTCCGCTGATATTTCCTTTGGCTCCTCTTACGAGTGGACCTTTTGTTTTCTCCCTACTGCGGCTGTCTCCTAAACATGTTGGAAATAGGCACCCCGCGCGAAGAGGACATCGACTCCGGGTTCAACTCGTTCAACGTGTCCCTCTTTATGCTCATCGCCTTCAGCTTCGTGCCCGCGGCGTGGATGGCCTACATCGTCCGCGAGAAGGAGACCAAGTGCAAACACCAGCAGGTACAAGCAAAGGAGGGGCGATGCAGCGGGTACATACTGGGGGCTGGTTGTCGCTGTTGTTGTCTTCACATTTCGAAAACCGTTCCGGTCTCTTCCATGTTCGAGTTTGGTACCGGTCCAAGCGACGCGGACGCCTTCCGTGGTCGCAGGCCTGCCATGGCGAGCCCCGCGATACGTGATTCAACAACGGCGTCCTCGCCATCTACGATGACGTGTATTCACCCACGTCTGTTTTGTCCTCTCTTCTAGATGCGTATTGGCTCACAATTATCCCTGTTTGCTCCCTTACAAATAGATGTACACGCCCACATCGATCTCTGTTTGCTCTCCAGCGAGTACGTGTACACTCACCCCTTTCTCTGTTTGCTCTGTTGCAAAGGTGGTGTCCGGTGTGGGCCTGGAGGCCTACTGGCTGTCTTCCTTCCTATGGGACTACGTGTCGCTCATCCCCCCTGTGGCTTTCACGCTCATCGTGCTGGCGGCCGCGGACGTGGCGGCCCTCATCTCCGGAGAAAACGGCGTCGCTACGTTCCTGCTCTTCCTGCTCTTCGGGTTTAGCATGGTGGGTACCGTAGTAGTTGGTGGATGTTGGCACACGCTTCGGTGGTGGAGGTTTACACGTGCACACACGTACTCCGCTTCACGTATCTACCACCATGGCGTGGCGGGCAAGTTTGTTTAGTGGTGGATGTGGGACACATCTACACACGCGCTCGCCTACAATCGTACGAAGTATATATTTTTTGCCACCGAGGGAAAGCTACGCCTTCCGTTGGGTTCGAGAAAGCGTCGGAGCAGATTTGCTGCTGCACACACAACCTCCGTTTTTCTCGCACCCTATCTCCGTCCTTTATTCGGTCACTCCTAAATTTTCTCCGCAACTGCCTCATCCGTCTCTCTCCCCCCGTTCCGTCCATCCTCGGTTGCCGACGAAACCAGCCGTCCTACACTTACCTGTGGAGCTTCTTGTTCAAGAACTACTCCAAGGCACAAAACGCCTTCCTGTTCCACAACTGGATCACCGGCCTCATCCTGCCGATCGCAACCACCATCATGTCCCTGTTCGAAGGAACCGTGAGTCATCTAGTTTGTTGTTGGTTGTTGGTTGTTATGTTGTTTCGAGAGTTCCTGCGCACATCAGGAGACGGTTCCATGTGAAAGGGAAGAAAAAAACTTCGATTNTCCTGTTCCACAACTGGATCACCGGCCTCATCCTGCCGATCGCAACCACCATCATGTCCCTGTTCGAAGGAACCGTGAGTCATCTTGTTTGTTGTTGGTTGTTGGTTGTTATGTTGTTTCGAGAGTTCCTGCGCACATCAGGAGACGGTTCCATGTGAAAGGGAAGAAAAAAACTTCCGGTTGGTGTTGCAAGGTATTCCGTATTGGTGGCAGGCGTTTGCTTTTGTGACGGGTTCAGTAGTTGCGCCAGCCAATGAAGACCTGCTGCGGACCCTCCCGCAGGCTGTGCTGTACCAACGGCTTGGGGTCGGCCGTTGTGGTTGAGGCTTTAAAACGGGGCGTTGTCGGCCTGCCCCTCGCCACAGTCGAGAGCCACTAGACGCGTCCCGCCAGCACTAAAAGTACAATCTTNGTGACGGGTTCAGTAGTTGCGCCAGCCAATGAAGACCTGCTGCGGACCCTCCCGCAGGCTGTGCTGTACCAACGGCTTGGGGTCGGCCGTTGTGGTTGAGGCGTTAAAACGGGGCGTTGTCGGCCTGCCCCTCGCCACAGTCGAGAGCCACTAGACGCGTCCCGCCAGCAATAAAAGTACAATCTTTCCCCATAAAACAAAAAATTGGCGCCCGCTCACTCTCACTTGGCTGCAGGATAATCCCACCACCGCGGCATGGATGTCGTCTTTCTACNGGCCTGCCCCTCGCCACAGTCGAGAGCCACTAGACGCGTCCCGCCAGCACTAAAAGTACAATCTTTCCCCATAAAACAAAAAATTGGCGCCCGCTCACTCTCACTTGGCTGCAGCGACGACTTTTTCAGTTTGCCACTACCACTACTGCCCACCTCTTTCCGGTGTCAAACGTGTTGTTTTTGTTCCAACCGCCGGCTCTCTGTGTGCCTTTTTTTTTTCAGGTCTCAGACGTTGGCCGCGGCATGGCCGCGGTGCTGCGCATCGTCCCCAGTTTCGCCCTGGGCGACGGTCTCATGAACATGAGCTTCATGGAGGTGGGATATTTGCCTCCAAGTAGCATGGTCTATCGTTGCGGTTGAGGGGTCCTGCGCTGTGATGACCCCCGTTTTTTTTGTCGGCATGCACGTTGAAACCGATTCCTGTTGTCCTTTCGGCGTCCGCACGGGAAGAACGTAGCGGGCACGACCCGAGAGTCATCAGAAAACGCGGCGGGCTGTGTCGGCAGCTGCCGGCGTTGGAAAGTCGCTGGAAATCAAGGATTTATTTCTCTCGGTGACGGTTCTGTTGTGTTTCTTTTGTTGTTCTCGTCTACGTCACGACCAGCTGACCTTCATTTGATGCGAACGGAGGGGAGAGGCCCCACCACCACCTCGCCTACAACACTCAGCAGTGTCTACCTCCGACATGTCATCCGTTCTGAACAACTTAACGGTCGGCAAGAAGGGCCGCTACCGGCAGGCGGACGGTTGGGTGCCGAACACGCACTGAAACTTGTATGTTCGGCGCCCTCGTCTGGGGAGGGTGAGCTGTCCGAGACGCCGATGCTCTCGGCCGCCCTCTTTTGACGAACANCGGGCACGACCCGAGAGTCATCAGAAAACGCGGCGGGCTGTGTCGGCAGCTGCCGGCGTTGGAAAGTCGCTGGAAATCAAGGATTTATTTCTCTCGGTGACGGTTCTGTTGTGTTTCTTTTGTTGTTCTCGTCTACGTCACGACCAGCTGACCTTCATTTGATGCGAACGGAGGGGAGAGGCCCCACCACCACCTCGCCTACAACACTCAGCAGTGTCTACCTCCGACATGTCATCCGTTCTGAACAGCTTAACGGTCGGCAAGAAGGGTCGCTACCGGCAGGCGGACGGTTGGGTGCCGAACACGCACTGAAACTTGTATGTTCGGCGCCCTCGTCTGGGGAGGGTGAACTGTCCGAGACGCCGATGCTCTCGGCCGCCCTCTTTTGACGAACAGCGTGTTCGGCACCCAACCGTCCGCCTGCCGGTAGCGGCCCTTCTTGCCGACCATTAAGCTGTTCAGAACGGATGACATGTCGGAGGTAGACACTGCTGAGTGTTGTAGGCGAGGTGGCTGTGGCGGCGTGACGCGGTGGGGCCTCTCCTTCCGTTCACGCCAAATAATTTGATTATGTATACAATGTGCCGGCGGGTCGTGCTTGTATTGGGTGTCGTTGTATGTGTAGTATGCAAGCCTGTCGCAGTCTTCATGCCTGCGTGGTGTTTTGTCGCAGGCGGATGGTCAAACCGTCCACGGCTTGGTCCATAAAGAGATGATGAGGTCGACAAGGACGCTTTTCGTTTTGGCTGTCGCACCGCAGCACGCGGTGAAGCACGGTTGGGGGGGGGAGGGGGGGGGCATAAACACACGAAAGAAACACCGCTCCAGCGGGCCCGTGTCGGTCTCGTCCCCTTAAGGCCAGTTTGGAATTTGCCTACGTCAGGATCACTCATATGCTCCCCCGCACGCCTCCATGTTATGATTTCCGCTGGTTGACAGTTTTTCGGATACCTGGACGACAAGGACTACACGGCCCTTTCCATGAGGATCACGGGTAACGCCCTGTTGTACATGGCCATCTGCGGAGTGATCTTCCTCGGGCTGCTGCTGATCACGGAGAGGTGCGCCGTATATACTGCTGCNCCCGTGTCGGTCTCGTCCCCTTAAGGCCAGTTTGGAATTTGCCTACGTCAAGATCACTCATATGCTCCCCCGCCCGCCTCCATGTTATGATTTCCGCTGGTCGACAGTTTTTCGGATACCTGGACAACAAGGACTACACGGCCCTTTCCATGAGGATCACGGGTAACGCCCTGTTGTACATGGCCACCTGCGGAGTGATCTTCCTCGGGCTGCTGCTGGTCACGGAGAGGTGCGCCGTATATACTGCTGGTGCGAGCGGCGTGGATCACTCGCGTGCTGTGCACCATGTGTCCTGCCGGTTGCCTTCGACGACGCCTCCCTCCCCCCATCCGCAGGCCCCTGAGACATACTTCGTATTTTCTTCCCCTCCTCTGTCTTGTATGTCATCATGGTCATTTTCGGCCGGCGTTGATGTCGCAGGGTTTTTTTGAGTCGTACTTGTCTTCTGCTCCCCCTCTCTTGCCGTTTTGTTTTGTCGCCGTGGTCGCGGTCCTTGTTTGCAGGGCATCTGCTGGCGGTTCCGCTCTGTCGGGACTCTGCGGCAGGCTCTCCGTGGGGAGGAGCCTCGGCAAGCTCACCCCGAGGCAGCTCGGGGACGAGGACGAGATTGACGCAGACGTCCGGGCGGAGATGGACAGGGTGGCCGGCGGCGGCGCCGACAACGACGTGGTCAAGGTGAGACAGACTTGTCTCGTGTAGTTTTGATAACGACAATGACAGCTTTTTCTGGTCTACTTACGTAGTAGCTTTTGCGAAAGTGTTTTCGGCAACATTGTTTTCTGTATTATGGCTGCTTTGATATTGTTACAACAGCAGCAGTCCAAACGATCCTTCGTCTTGTGCACCAGCATCAACTATTATGCGGTGTGTGGGTTCCATGTACCATAGGAACATCGATCTTGTCCTTTTGAGGCCGCCGCCGCCGCCGTCTTCACGTCTGTTTGTCTCAAAATGAGTTTTTTTTTTCTCGTTTTTCCATATTTATTGTTAAGAACTGNTTATGGCTGCTTTGATATTGTTACAACAGCAGCAGTCCAAACGATCCTTCTTGTGCACCAGCATCAACTATGATGCGGTGTGTGGGTTCCATGTACCATAGGAACATCGATCTTGTCCTTTCGTCGTTGAGGCCGCCACCGCCGCCGTCTTCACGTCTGTTTGTCTCAAAATGAGTTTTTTTCTTCTCGTTTTTCCATATTTATTGCTAAGAACTACGGTATTTTGCTGCACGCGGGGCAGCCGTCGACAAAACCGTTAGAGACTCGTGTGCCTTCCCCGTGCGGCGAGCTTTCATAGCCAGGTGTTGAGCGAGAAAAGTACCTCGCCGCCGCTGCTCATCGGCAACAACCACAACCGCCTTCGCACACTCGTTGCACGACACGCGTGTTTTTTTTTTTTCAGCCGTCTTTTACTGTTGACCAAACCTTGTCCCGTACCTGGAAATGACAAGTTTCGTTTCTGTTGCCACTCTCTTCTGTTGCGTGCCGTTGTCTTTCCCTTTCTTGCGACATTTATATGTTCAGGTCAAGGGCCTGCGGAAGGTGTATCCCACGAGCGGAGGCGCCAAGGTTGCCGTGAAGAGCACGTCCCTGGGCATCCCGCGCGGGGAGTGCTTCGGCCTGCTCGGCATCAACGGGGCGGGGAAGAGCTCCACCCTCGCAANTTTCAGCCGTCTTTTACTGTTGACCAAACCTTGTCCCGTACCTGGAAATGACAAGTTTCGTTTCTGTTGCCATTCTGTTCTGTTGCGTGTCGTTGTCTTTCCCGTTCTTGCGACATTTATATGTTCAGGTCAAGGGCCTGCGGAAGGTGTATCCCACGAGCGGAGGCGCCAAGGTTGCCGTGAAGAGCACGTCCCTGGGCATCCCGCGCGGGGAGTGCTTCGGCCTGCTCGGCATCAACGGGGCGGGGAAGAGCTCCACCCTCGCAATCCTCTCAGGTTTGTCAAAATCAAGTCTTGATATGTCGGCTGTTTTTTTCTTTTTTAGCAAAGTATACAAAATATCACAGAAGGATACGTATGTACCCGTTGGAGATACGTACGACAGGCTGTTTTCTTTCGTCGGGAGTTTGGGTTCTGTGGCGATGAGGCTCGTAAACAGCAGAAGTGGCATCCGAATGGAATGCCTTGACGTGGTGGCTGAAATGGCGGGGCCCCCCAACACCACTGCCCACCCGTTCATGACCTACAATCTATATGTCTTCACCTTTTCTGCAGGGGAACTGCCGCCCACGACGGGATCGGCTTACCTGAGCGGCTTTGACGTGGGCAAGAACCCCGAGGAGATCCACCGCCTGGTGGGGTACTGCCCGCAGTTCGACGCTCTGTTCGAGACCCTCACGGGCAGGGAGCACCTCGCCCTCTACGCATCCATCAAGGTGTGTATGATACCAGTGCTCCTTATCAGCACTCTTTGGTTCTTAGTGTGTGTGTTCTGAATGATGATTGGTTGTCGGGACGAGTTGCGGAGGCCCTTGGTTGAATTTTTACTTTTTCCGAAAGATCCCTTCTTTTTTTTCTGCTTTCCACCACCAGCGAGTTTATCGTACGAGAAAAGGATGGCACGACGAGTCACCCCGAACCGCACTGCGACTGCAGATACGAGGGGCAATATCTTGGGCAAGTCTTTACTGTTTGTCGTTTGTGTGTTGGTCGCTAGTGCTGTTCCCGAAGTCACGCTCCCAAAATCCCCCCTTGCATTGTAAGGATTCGAGGTCGAGAGTCAACGACTACGGCATGCGCATTGAGTTCACCCCTCCCCCCCCTCTCTCATGCACTCGCGATGCCGCTTCCGATTCCCCTTTTTCGTCCCACAGGGTATCCCGGCGGACAAGCGGTCTGCCGCCGTGGACCAAAAGATCGAGGAGATGGGGCTCAAGCAGTACGCAGACAGGCCGGCCGGCGGGTACAGCGGCGGTAACAAGCGCAAGCTTTCGGTTGCCATGGCCATGATCGGGGACCCACAGGTGAGCAACAAGAATCGCGAGACTTCGGAAGCCAAAGACGACGGTAGCAGTATGGTGGTTTTTAATCTGCGAGAGCTACCACGACTATCGATAATACTTGCGAAGAACACGAAATTGTACATGCACACGATGTTGCGATTGATTGGTCGATGTACGACACGTTTTCGTAAAGTTGTTGTTGGACCGCCGTCATGCCGTACGTTGGGACGGGAATGTAGGGTTCTGTCTGCCGTTGTACAGTACTTTATGCCATTCCGTTCCTCCTTTATTGTTGCGGGGTCGATTTGGTGTCACAGATCGTGTTCTTGGACGAGCCGAGCACGGGGATGGACCCCATGGCGAGGNCGGCCCTCGCCGCCGCGCACGCCCCCGAGCTAGAGGCGGAGGTCTCCCCCACCGGCCGCGGGGCGAGCATTTACCACGCCATCGCTAACCAGGGCGGGGTGCCCGTAAGGGACCTGGCGGCTTGGATTTGCGTGGAGAAGAAGTGCTCGAGGGTGGGTCGTCGAGGCGATGAGTTTTGGTTTTGGTCCTCGTCTTTTTTTTTTTTTTGCACAACGAATCCATGTATTTGGTCCACGGATGAGAGTCCAGGGTAAAGTTAGCATCGTATCAAAGGCGTGCTTGTGTGGGTGAGTGCCTGCGGTGCCATGTGGTTGTTGGTGTTGAATCGTGGCGACGCTATGTTTGGTCTCACTTCAATTAAATAGGGCGCTTCGACAAATCATTCATGATGTTTGGTAGGACCCTACATTGCGGTTGGTTCTGCACCACATAGTTTCCGGCCAACCAAGGTACGGTAGCTCCTGACACCTTCGCTCGTTCGGCGTGCGGATGCCTTGGTTGGCTGCCAACAGGTGATTGCCTTTATGCAGGAGCACTTCGCCGGGGTAGCGTTGCGGGAGAAGCAGAACGCCAAGATGCGCTTCGAGTTCCCGCCGCAGAATTGTGTCACGTCCACAACACCTCTGACTGTGTCCCGCTTCGAAAGCTACGGATTCCAATTACGTGGGCTATTTGTTACCTCCAATTTTGATATTATCGTGCCCCTTGTTTATGCTCCTTCCGCGGAGGCGGTCGTCATTGTTCAGGAAGAGCGTGTGTGATTCCGAGTGAAGTTGAGGTCGGAGGGGGGGGGGG